ATAATAGAATCACTAACAATAAATATGTTGACTCCAAAGTTATCGTATTATATATAAATAAAAACAATCATTATAATACTCTAAAAAATAATCTAAAAAAAACAGTCTTATCTGTTGTAGGTCATTTAAAACTTGGATCAAAAAGACTTCCTCATATTCTCACTTCCGATATTAAATGGACTTATGCGATTAATAACCCTCAACCTTCGCATGCTTCAACTATCGGGAAAGCGTCTTCACAAGAAGATTTTGATACAGAACTTGATAATATTAAAGAAAAATATGCTACATTATCTTACTTGCCTCAAAAAAGACAAAGAATTAATATGCAAAATTCATCTCTTAACAAACCTTCAAGTGATAAAACTACATCCCTAGGTTTTGCTGAAGTCGCTTCGTAGATTCAAAAAGAAACTTCTTCCACCGAATCTTCTTCTTTACAATCTACTTCGCAGGCTATTAGTACAGAACCTAACACTGAAACCCCTATTCACCTTGTGCCTCATGTAAATGAAAATACAATGTTTACTGATGATAATGATTCTACCAAACTCGCATATACTAATACTCCTGTTCCTCAAAATGAAAAACTTGATAATAATAGAAAGCGTTTAAGGCCGCTTTTACTTGCAAAAAAATAGAATGATAATTATTTATATTATTGTGTTTTTCTTTATTATGTAAAATGAAATCTATTTTTTTTGTTGTTTAATAATAAATAAATCAATTACCAAAATCCAGAGTTTATCATATTATTTACGATAAAGTTGTGTTATATAATTACAGTTGGGGGTTTCAGATAATTAAGTTTCATATGATTTTTGTCAAATTATATATAAAATTATATATAAAATACCGAATTTAAAAAAGTTCTATCTACATTATTATGCCGTTTGATTTGAATGTATCATCCGAATTGTATCTTCTAAATTGCTGAGAAATTATTCTCGTGTTTAAAATTACAATTAAGTGAAATTTTAATTTACCAGATCTTATACAATATTACGTGAAATTACGTAAAACTATCAAAATTTAATGTCCTGACTCATAGTTCAACATTAACATTAACATATTGTATGTTCGAACTCTGATTTAAAAATTATATACATCTGAAAAAGTAACAACATTAAGATCAATTTTTATTTTTATAGTTCTATACCACTTTATTACAGACCAATTAAAAATTAAATTGAACTTACCAAACTATCCGAACTATATTGTCTTTTTAATAGTTATACACTAAAATTCTTATAATAAACCTAAAATTCGATAATTTCTGATTGATCAATTTGTATCTCACTGATATAAAAATAAAAAATGTTTATATGATCAATCAATTGTTTATCTATTTATAGTATATACCGTAATTATACCAGAACTTGAATATTGTAAAAGACTTGAATTACTTTAATGGCATATTAATATATATACCTATTTTCCATTTTTAGTATAACAATATTATAACCACGTACTGCATACCTAATTACTGTATAGGTTACACTCCAAAATCAGATGTAACTGTAATACGTACGTATATAAATCCTGTAAATAAGATATACCACATCAATGAGGCTATAGAATACTGAATGTGACTCACAAAATAACGATAGATGACTAACGCAAAATAAAGATTGATCGTGATTATGAAATATAGACAATGCATTAAGAAGAAAATACTGAATATCGAATTTAAACCAGAAGAAAAAAAGAGCAAGCACAAAAATTTGTAAATGAGTCATTAGATCAAATAATCATTAAACGCAAAAGCCCACTTCTTAAATCTAATATTTTTATATATTAAATTGTATATCAGGCTCAGACCAACCAAAGAAAAAAAGAAATGAAAAGTTTCGCTAATAAGTCATTAAATCGATAATTATTAAACATGAGAGCCTTTCTTTGATAATTTTATCTGTTTAAGCTATAAAAAAAGTAAAATAATTAAACCAAAGCCTCTTAAGCCTCTTCATTAGCATAAAGTTATATAAAGACGCTATGATTCTATCATTATAAAATCAAATAACTTGCGAATCAAAAAATTAGCATTGCTAAAGCTGAATCCAAAATCTCCATTTTTTTCTATACTTTTATTCGTTTTAGATTGCATGTTAGACTTCTTCTATAGCAATACAATAATATTCTTAACACAATAAAAATATTACAAAAAAAAATGCCAAACTATAGTATCCAAACTTTTTATCTTACCTCTTTCACTAAGATATTAACTCAATCTAACGAAAATCTTGCGATTTCTCCTGTTGATACCATCTTCGAACTGTATACTCTAAGAAATGAGATAAATCAAAATTTATCAAACGCTTCTACTAATTCTATTATTTCTGATCCATCATTCTCTTCATATGAAATAAATACCTTTTCATATCAACACTTGATGCCAGCTCTTCGTCATCTTATATATCAATTTCAAACAAAAATTTTACCAGACTATCCAAGTGTTCCTTGCGCATATTATTCAATTTTAATGTTAAACTCTTTTGTACAATGGATTAACTATAATAACATACCATGCCACAAGTTTTCTCACTTCTAGTTCATACTAGAAAAAATAATAAAAATATTATTCAAGTTGCTGTTTGCAATGGATATAAAATGAAAGAACGTGCTATTATCTTCCAATATTACCCCTATTCCTCCTCAGATAAATAATGTTCCTATGATACATAGAAAATACCTCTCATCTGTTTTCATGAATTGTTTATTAGGTCGAACTGCGTGTACAAATCCTTACACCAACTATTGTCATCTTCAAGGGACTATCAATTTATCATATAATTATCAAACTCTCCAATTATATTCCAGATTAATTGGATGTTATTTAAATATCAATGAACCTCCGAATTAGTTTCATGATTCATTAATTCCTACATCTGAATAGCTCAGACAATCAAACCCTCTTATTCGTGAATATACATCAGGTATAACTATCAGTCATCCGTCTCCAACAATTCCTGTTCCTGTTCCTCTACCATTAGCCTGTCAATCTTTTCAAATACCTACCTATTCTTCTAATTTATACCACAGTAGTATTCCTGATGATCTGCCTCATCCTCCTGATTTGATTGTCCTAAATAATTCTTTTTCTCAAGAAATTTATAATGAAGATACACATTACAGTTACCTATTAGCTAGCTTAATCATTAATACTAATAAACCTCTTATGTTTAATGATCATCACCTGGAAGCTTTAATATTTTCCAACCTATTTCCTAATAGTCAAGGACATTACGAAAATATAAAGCGACTTTTAAATTTTCAACCTTCAGTCGATAGTTATGGAAAATATATAAAATTATGTTTATTTTACCCTGATCCTCACTTCCGTCTTTGGTATTGGCCTCATTGGTCGTACTTAAACTTAGAAAAAAAAAAATTTTTCAAAATCAATACCGCATACTATCGACCAGAAACATTAATCGCAAATATCACCTAACAAGAGCAGATTTAATCGCAGAAAGCTCTTATCATACCTGAAATATTATAGATGAAACTAAGACTACTACAATCCCTTCATACCTCTGAACTGCCGCCCCTTTTTTCCAACAAAAACAATATTAGGTTAATACCATGATAAGTTCTTATGGACTACCTCAAATTTTTTATACGATGACTATGGCCGAAGATAAATGGCCTCATTTACATGAAATACTAAGACAAACTGATAATGGAAACACGTTATTCACTAACCGTCCACTACACGCTTACTATTTTACCGTAACTATTTAACTAACATTCACAATAAACTCTGGAAATATCCAATGCTTTCCAGGTGGAGTAAGTGGGAGCATTTTTTTGAACGTGATGAGTTTCAAAACTGTGAAACTATACATACACATGGGTTCGCGTATACTGAAAAAAAGATTCCTGAATTAATATCCTTAAATACGATTCGCGCTAACCTCCTTGATCCAATCTTTGAACCTGAATTACATGTGCTGGTATTATCATTTCAAATCCACTATTGTGATTATAGGTGTGGTGGACAAACTTCTAATAGAAATCTGTGTTCTAAAAGTTTTCCTCAACCTTTATCCAAAAGAACTTACTACTCACAACACTCTTTACGTTATATTTATCATCGTACGAAAAATAAAGACAGGATGGTAGTTCCTTATCACCCTGAAACTTTGTTAATATGGTGCAACCATATTAATTTTCAATATGTCACCTCCACTGGATTTGCCAGATACATAACTAAATATGTTACTAAAGCCGAATCTTCGGAGTTATTTGATATTAACGAAGCTAATGACTATAGAATACATATTATGGTAAGACAGTTAGGAGCGATGGAATTAATGATACTTTTACTGCAATATCCCTTAACAAGATGTTCTGTTTCTGTACATTACCTTCCTTCTGCCCCTCTGATTTACGTATAAGATCTGTTAAACCAATTCACCTCTTACACGATATGAATGATAATGGTGATGATAATCAAAAAAATGAATCGCCATATTGGGATGATGCTATCAATAAATATTTTGATCGCCCTGACCATGACTGTTTTCAAAAAATAACCTATCCTGATTATTTTCAAAATTACACATTTAGATCTAAATTACCCGGCCCAAATTCAAGATTATTTTATACCCGAGACCAAAAAAATAGAATAGTATCACAAAGAAAAACACCTGTTCTTTTACGCTTTACTAACTATAAAATAGAGGACGGTGAACCTTTTTTTTTTTCAACATCTCATAATGAAACTTCTCATCAAATCAGAACGTGACTTATTAGACGAATATACCTCTTATAAAGAACGATTTCAATCTATCTTTCCTGTTAGATTTGCCCTTGAAATCGATTCCATCCATCAAAGTCATCTTGTACAAAAGAATAACTTATCAAATGTTTATAATTCATTAATAAGATCACTTGTAAACGACTATGAAAACCAAGAATTATCTACCTTAATTTTTAATCAATTCATTTATCTAGAAAAACATACACTTTAACTTGATAGTCATTCCTTTCTAGCTCTTAACTTTAAACAATACGAAACTTATAATCTTTTATGTAATGTATAGGGAAAACCGAATAACAGCAAATACTCTTATTTCTTTTTAACCAGTTCAGCTAGAACTGGTAAAACTTTTATACTCCATCAATTAATTTCGTATTTAACTTCTAAAAGAAGAAAATACCTCTTAATGGCACCTATTGGAGTTGCGGCACAAACCATTAGTGGTAAAACAATTCATTCTGCTCTGAAAATCTGACTCCAAAATGATCAATATGAAACTTTAATTTACTCTAATTTAGAAACTATATCAAAATTAAAAAAAATCGAACTACTCGTATTAGATGAAATATCCATGGTAGACGCAGACCTATTCACTTTTATTAGTGA